TTGCCTTCCTTTCTTAAGAGATGCTTGTTCAGAAGAAAACGACGATGTCCCAAGTACACATTCTTCTTACATTTATCCAAATATATACTTTCAGTCTCATTTAAACAGTGCGTGCATCTGTGGTATCCCGTGTTTATCTGTCCTAAAAGATTACTAAGAGCAGGCCAATCATTGATGTTTACAAACAGCAATGCTCGTAGGTCAAATTCCTATTGTTTGTGCTCCATCCCACACACGTACACCTTTTTTCCCACAGCTGTAGAAGTTCTTCAACTAATGGCCTTAGGTACACATCAATGTCGTTGTCGGGTTGCTTTGGGCCTTGGATGAGCACTGGCATCATAATGAACTTCCGCTTCATGCAGAACCAAGGAGGAAGGTTATAGATAACTAGAGTCATAGGACAGGTGCTATGATTGCTACTCTGCTCCCCAAAAAGATTAATGTCGTCTGAACTTAAACCAAAACCATATGTTCCTTGCTTCATCTGCAAAGTCCAGAAACTTTCTCTCGATTTTTCTCCACTGCGACCTGTCAGGGGGTGCTCTCAACTTCCCGTCTTTCTTACGGTCTTCTTTGTGCCATCGCAACAACTTGGCATGCTCTTTGTTTTTGAACAAACGTTTCAACTGTGGTATCATAGGAGCATATCACATCACCTTGGCAGGAATCTTCTTCCTGGGGCGCTCGCCCTCAACATCACTAGGGCCATCGCGGCTGATCTTATAGTGTAATGCACCGCATACCGCGCATGCATTCAAATTCTTGTACTCCTCACCGTGGTAGAGGATGCAGTCATTAGGGCATGAATGTATCTTCTACACCTCTAATCCTAGAGGGCAAACAACCTTCTTTGCTTCTTACGTACTGTCGGGAAATTTGTTGTCCTTTGGAAGCATCTTCTTTAACATTTTTAGCAACATTTCAAATCCCTTGTCAGATACACCATTCTTTGCCTTCCATTGCAGCAATTCTAGTGTGGTACCCAGCTTTTTCTTGTCATCCTCGCAAATTTGGGTAGAACAATATCTTGTGATCCTCTAACTTGCGCTACAACTTTAACTTCTCCTTTTCACTTGCGCAGTTTCCCTTTGCATCAGCAATGGCCCAACCAAGATCATCAGTGGGCTCATCTGATGCCTCTTCTTCAGCTTCTTCCCCCACTGTAGTACCACCGTATTCAGGGAACCCAGGATAGTTTTCATCATCCTCTTCTTATTCATTCTCTTCCATTAGAACCCTTCTTTCTTCGGGCTTGGTCCAACAGTTATAGACGGACATGAAACCAGACTTAAACATGTGGAAGTGAATGACTCTTGAGTCAAGGTAATTGGTATCATTATTACAAAGACCATATGGACAATACAGAAAACCATCCCTCTTGTTTGCCTCAGTCATACGCAGAAAACTATGCATGCCATTAATGAATTGGGGAGAGCGTCGGTCATCGTACATTCATTGCCAGCTCATCTTCATCACACAACACCGAAAAGACCAAATTAATACAAGTTCATACATAACGTTCATATACACTTATTCTCATAAAACAACATACAACTATCTAGATAAAGCATTTAAATGCAACAACAAATGCGATCAAGATCGCAACTAAGGTAACAATTCATACAACAACATAATGATAACAAGCATCTTTATTAACTGCATATTTTCTAATCTTCAAGCGCATTGCATGCATCTTAATCTTGTGATCATAGATGACATCGGCAACATACAACTCCAACTTCATCTTCTCATCTTCAATTCTTTTCAATTTTTCTTTAGCGCATTACATGCATCTTAATCTTGTGATCATCAATGACATCGGCAACATACAACTCCAACTTCATCTTCTCATCTTCAATTATTTTCAATTTTTCTTTCAAATAATCATTTTCTTTTTCAACTAAATTTAACTTCTCTACAAGAGGCTCGGTTGCAATTTCCGGTTCACATACCTCCTAGATAAAATATCTATGTCAACTTGATGGGCGTAATTTTCATAAACGCGAAATGCAACAAATAGTTATAAAAGAGAATATACCTCATCCGAATCATAAACCGGACGAGGACGGACGGGGACGGATATCAAGACCATGGCACTATGAATAACAAACAATCATACAAGTAAGAAAATTATAGAAGTAACTATCTGAAAAATACAAACATGATTTTTTTATAAAAAGGATAAGAACAAGAGGCTCACCAAGGTGGTGCCGGCGACGGGACGGTGCGGGAGACCGACGATAGTTAGGACGGGGACGGCGAAGGCACTAAGTAAACCACACCTACACTATGCAAACTAAGCAGTTAATTTGAGCTCAAATTGCAATTAATTGTAATAAACTCTCACATAATTATCCCAAACTAAAACACGCAAATCACTATACTTATAGAGTATTGCACGAGCTAATCTAGCATATGAGAGATTAAAGGACAAAGTTGTTAACATTTGTGAACACTTGGAGAGATGGATGCCTCAAATCTTGGCCAAAAATGGAGGACGAGCTCGAGCTAAGGGAAAAAAAGGGGAAGGAGAAAACAGAGAAATCGGCTCGGGCTGGACGAAGGGTTTATATAGGGACATCTTTAGTCCCGGTTCATGAAACAAACCCGGACTAGAGGTCTACCTATAGTCCCTTTTTTTATACGAACCGGCTCGCAGGGGTCCTAGCCTGACGCCGGCCTGCCACCACCCCTTTAATCCCAGTTTGTATCACAAACCGGGTCTAATGCGTAGCCGTTCGAATCGGGACTAATGGTACCATTAGTCTGGGGCCAAAACCTGACCTGGACTAATGGACTGGACCAAAGCCCCGTTTTCCACTAGGAAATGCTATAGGAGCATGGTTAATAGTATAATCAGTTGATGCAGTAGGGTAGTATATGGTTAGTATTTTTTCCATTTTTTCTGTATATCTTTCCGCTCGTTAAATGATTTTACATAAGAATATGTGTAAGCCTACTCTTTTAATTTTTTTTCTTTATCTCTCTCCATCATATAGGCACAAGTCATATAAGCATCCCAAGAACCGAATTGAATTTGCGCGCTTATAACACATTACTGTATTAGTTGCTCTTAGTCTATGTAAATACTGTTGGAACAGAGGATGGACGAACGATCACACAAGAACACGAGGTGATGAATTTAGCCAGGCGACAAACGCCTGCGGCGACGGACGCCCCGCCGGCAACGAACGCCGTTGTTTCTCCTTGTATGTCACTCGGCTCGATGAACAAGATGCAATACGTCAGCTTGTATAGCCCAGCACACACAGGGCCGGCCGTCACACTCTGGCCACGCACGCACGTAGCACCCACTAACCAACCCCTACATGCAGGTCCATATTAAGCTGATGCATGCACGCACTAACAGCCCACTAGCCAACTAAGTAGCCTACGCATGCGCACACACGCACGCCTCGCCAGTCGCTCGCCCAGGCCGCACACACGACGCCCTGCCGCGGTTTATTCCAACAAATACAAGTTTTGCTGGCTTATCTATTCTTCTGCCTCGACTTCACACTCCCGACCTGGCTCTCCAATCTCTCGTCTCACTCTGAAACAACGACTGGCTGTCCGTTGGCTCCCGCGTCAAGGTGCTGCATCCATGCTCGCCTCGCTCCGGCTGCCCCGCCAACAGAATAGAGGTTGTCTTCCATGAGGTACGAAGCTGTCCCTCCGCCGCGCTAACTTCAGCCGCCGCCACGGGGTACGAGGTGCCGTCTCCCGCAGCGCAGAGCGGGTTCTCTGGCGTTAGCGGCTGCCTCCACTGGCCACCAAAAAGGTGGTGGAGGTGGCCTAGATCTGGGTCTTTCTTTTTTAGAGTGGTTTTTCTACGCTCAGCACTGTGCACCTCTGTACGTCCCACAAGAAATCATATAAACACATTTAGAAAGAACTAGACCTTTGTGAAAATCATTATGAGTAAATGTTTTATATGCTTGCAAAGTTTGATCGTCAAAGGACTTTCAAGGAGCTTTATAAAAAAAATTAATCAAAATTACTCAAAATGTAGGTGCACTGTTTGAGCAGAATTTGTAATATTTTTTTAAAAAAAGCTCCTCGGATGTCATTTAACCATCAAACTTTGGAAGTATCTACAGCATTTGTTCATAATAATTTCCACAAAGTTTATGATTTTTTTGGAATGTTTTGCTCTGTTTTCTTTTGGGGTGTAGCGGGGGTGCATCGAGCTAGGGTTCAGACACTATTTTCCCTTGGTTTATCCATTTTTCCATGCTATACAAAAACCAACTTTAAGGACGATGGGGAAACCACAACCTTTTCCTAATTTAATAGTTCCTTTACTACTGCGTGCATTTGAAAATTGAGTGTTG